TTTACAGTTGTTGAAGTAATCTCTCTATGTATGCCACCATTATGAAACTATGATAAGTTATGGTCTGACTGCAATATGTTTATAGTGCTTTACATTATGTGATTATGATATTTTTGAAACTTAAAACCATGCTATTAAATGTTGGCCTGTGCACTGATACTCCAGTTGCAACCTGACGAGGACTCTGGGTATCTCCGTAAGTCCGTAAAAGCCGGCAGGAATATGATGATGATGATGATGGCATGATATTTTGATATGATGATGTTAAATGTTCCATTTTGTATTGTTATTATAAACTGTTGCAGGAGTAAGCGTCATAGTTGGAGAATGCTCCAGCTGTGAACCTTACTGAGATTTTCCCCAAAATCTCACCCCCCTTGACCACCCATTTCAGGAAAAGATGAAAGAAAGTAATAAGAAAGTTATGTGGGAAAGAAAGGGTAAGAGACTGGTACGTAAAGAAGAAGAAACTCCACCTACCTGGGAAGAGAAACTAAAGGATCTAACAGATAGAGGCCTATGGACTGAGGCTATGAAATTATTAATAGAAGCTTTTCCACATTATGATTTCGATGAAGCACTAAGTACACAATGGCTAGAGGAACCACAACCACATTATGACTGGGCTTATGATGCGGCATAAATTATGTTTTTATTTATGATTAGTTAATCTTTTTGGGATTACATTAAATAATGTTTAGTGTTATTTATTTTGTATTGACGTTTTAACGCTTTTAATTTTATATGGAATAAGTATGGTTATGTGTTTCCATTTTGCACTCTGATATTTGCATTCGTAAAGTTTAAATTTAGACTTCCGCGCGTTGAATGCATGATGAAGGTGCACCCTATATGTATTTACATTTGGGGTGTTACATTTATGGTATCAGAGCAAAATTTCGGATTAGGATGGAACACTAACCATTTGCTGTATCTATGTACAGCAAGATGCCTCCACGAAGAACCCCTACGCAAGATATACAAGGACAAATTAACACGTTGCGGGACACCATCACCCAATTACAAACCAACACGGGAGATATGTTTCAGAATATAATGAATGAGATCAGAAGGAACCCAAATGCTAATGCAAACAATAACGGAGCAAGCGGCTCGGGAACAGGAGCCGGGGGTCATGGTGAAGGACCCCGACCTCCTCCAGGAAACGGTGCGGCAGGTCAAGATAACCAAGGACTACTGTTGACGTTTAGAAAGCACAAACCACCCTCCTTTCAAGGAAGTCCTGACTCAATGGCAGCTGTACAATGGCTGCAAGCAATGGACAAGATTTTTCGAGTTATCCAATGCACCGACGATCAGAAGGTGCTATTCTCGACGTACATGCTGGAAGGAGATGCTCACCACTGGTGGGCGAATGCGTCCCAACCGTTGGAAATGCAGAATGCGGTTATAACTTGGGCCGTGTTCGAGGAAATGTTCTTGGAGAAATACTTTCCGATGTCAATCCGGGATAGTAAACAAGGAGAATTTGACAAACTAGTTCAAGGAACGATGACGGTGGACCAGTATCATGCTAAGTTTAATGAGTTACTAAGATTGGCAATGTACAGAGGAGCAATGCCTTTACCAGACTTTCTGATGGCGAAGTTTCAAAGGGGTCTGAATCCCAGAATTGCTGAGCTAGTAGCCGGCAACGACCCATGTGACTTTGCAACCCTAATCAATCGATGCAGAAGAGTGGAAGCTATTGGCCAACAGAAGAAACCCGTGGAAGCTAGCGGGAATGGTTATAAAGGAAAGACTGGACCATGGCGAGGAAACAACGGAGGAAAGCCCTGGCAGCCCAGGCGAGATGACAACAAGTTCAAGAGACCCGGAAACTACCGGGGAAACAACAGCCACAACAACAAACCTCCGAACTGTCCAAAATGCAAGAAGCCCCATTACGGTGTGAACCTTACTGAGATTTTCCCCAAACTGTCATAGTTGGAGAATGCTCCAGCTGTGAACCTTACTGAGATTTTCCCCAAAATCTCACCCCCCTTGACCACCCATTTCAGGAAAAGATGAAAGAAAGTAATAAGAAAGTTATGTGGGAAAGAAAGGGTAAGAGACTGGTACGTAAAGAAGAAGAAACTCCACCTACCTGGGAAGAGAAACTAAAGGATCTAACAGATAGAGGCCTATGGACTGAGGCTATGAAATTATTAATAGAAGCTTTTCCACATTATGATTTCGATGAAGCACTAAGTACACAATGGCTAGAGGAACCACAACCACATTATGACTGGGCTTATGATGCGGCATAAATTATGTTTTTATTTATGATTAGTTAATCTTTTTGGGATTACATTAAATAATGTTTAGTGTTATTTATTTTGTATTGACGTTTTAACGCTTTTAATTTTATATGGAATAAGTATGGTTATGTGTTTCCATTCCACACTCTGATATTTGCATTCGTAAAGTTTAAATTTAGACTTCCGCGCGTTGAATGCATGATGAAGGTGCACCCTATATGTATTTACATTTGGGGTGTTACAGGAATGGTCTGAGGCAAAACCATGCACCCATCCGGCCTACTGGCCTCATGCTTGCAACATATGGGCTCTCATCAAAGAATGTGTTCCCAGAACATCATTCAAGGAGCCCCTGTAACACCCCGTTCTAGAACCGGTTTGTTAACATTGCTTTATGATATTAAGCGCAGTTAATATCACATTGGTTCAATTAAAAACCCGGATAAATTTTTCGTTTTCCTTTTTAACAACGCCAAGTTTGAAATAACCAATTGCGTGACCATAACATTATTATTTTGCGGAATAATCAAAACTAAACTTAATATCATATCATTATTTTGTTCGAGTTTAATACTAAACTCTCTTCGCCTTTTTCTAAATTGGGATTTATATATACTTACTTTATAGTTCTTAAACACTAAACATATATACTCTTTATTTATTTAAGAAATTCCTATACTACTTTTGTGGTCTCCATTTTTCCAATATGTTATGGGATTTTTCATTAGCTACGCGTAGGTTCAAACCGTGCTCAAATCGAAGCACCGTAGCTCAAGTTACACATTTTCTAAGAAAATGGATGCTGAAATCCCCAAGACCCCCACGCTCATAGCGTGAGTCTCACGCCCGTAGCGTGAAGATACAGGGAGGTTGGCGCTCCTAGCACCACCGTGGTGCCCTCAGTGCCGTTGTTACTGCCTCTTACTGGAAGCTGGCACCCTTAGCGCCAGTTTGGCGCCCATAGCGCCACACAGCAAGTCAGGGTGCCGAAAATAGGGCAATTTGACCTATCTATGATGTTTCATCCATAACTTTAGTTATACTTATCCAAATTACACAATCTTGGTCTCTATGCAAAGCTAAGAAAATTATCTACAACTTCCTTTACGACACAAGGGTCCAAATCTATCATATAGGATATGAAAATTGGACAACAAGACGGGATATCTTTACTTTTACTTGGATTTTCCAACCCAAGGTCCTCTTTCTCCTAATTGATATCATACAATCCTTCCAATACATGAATTCTAATCTTTCAAGATACTCATACACTAAGAGAAGCAAGCATACCATTTCATCATACATATATCCTCATTAATTACAACATCATCAGGTCTCAATTACATCATTGTTCTTACAAATTTCATATACATGCCCAAGGACTTAGCTACAAAAGGAACATGATCAAAGCTATAAGCCATTTACAACAAGGCATTCACCACTACAACGATCATGCACCAAGTCCCTCAAAATACATGATGTGACATCAAAATATACATATAGCAATTCTAAATGGCATGCAACTCAAAATATCCAGCTATCAGGTACAATCTACTCATGCTTCTTGCCTCGATCAACCTCACCTCTATCAGTACCTGAAATGATGCCCCACAACACGGGGTGAGATATACGAATATATCATAGTAAACCAGAGGTCCTTGGAGATCACTCCACCCTGAGGTTCACTTTCGATGTACACATAATCATAACAGTTCAACACATTCTTATCCATAACCATTATATGGACTTCCAAGAGAGATCCTCAAAGGGTTGTTTCTCTTAGGCTCTTACCACATGGAGATCCACCTAGGGCTGTTTCCAAGGGAAGTCCTTTCCTTAATCTAGGAACCTCCAAGAGAGATCCACATAGGGCTGTTTCTCTTAGGCTCTAACCACATGGAGATCCACATAGGGTTGTTTCCAAGGAAAGTTCCTATCAACCATTCTCATCATAATTCTATCAATCATTCCTCAATCTATATTTCTACCTCTATCAACCATTCCTCAATCACTCTTAAACAATCAAACATCAATTAATCAATCATAACATTTATCAATGCATGAATCAATGCATTAATCAATCATAACATCATTTCATAAGGCTGAGTTTTAATTATGTGTTATTTTGCAATCATCGTTTTTAGAATTTAATAATTTAAAATAAAAATTAATGTATAAATAAATTAAAAGAATAAAAAGCAGTTAGATATCAATTTAAAAGAATATATATATTTTTACCAAAAAAAATATGTATATATATAAAATGTGTTATAGAAGATATTTTTGTCTATTTATATTATATTATGACCATATCAATTACATGATAACATAATTTCATCAAACAATTTATCCGATAGACATCAAGCATAAAATATAATATGAAGTAGAAAAAAAAAAATATAAAAATAATTTGATTCTTCGTTGTCCTACTAAATAGTAGAGTAGATAATTATAGTTATCCATCCTATCCACAAAGGATATTAAATCGTGTCATGGGACACATTAATTACATAATTGATTCAGGCGATAATTATGCTCAACACAACCAATTATGTATCTTTCTGCAACTCGGAAATAATTTCAAATCTCCGGTAACCAAATAATTTAAGAAGTAATTTCGAATCTGCATGATTTCATCTTTTCAAAGGAATAAAATATAATTTTTTAAAATAAAAGATTGGATAATATAAATTTTAAGAATAATAGTTGTGGGTTCTAGGAGTAAATGGGCATTCCACTTTCTTCTTTGTAAAATCAAAATGGGAAGGAAAATCTCCCTGCCCACCGGAGAACAACACCGTACGATGGTTCGTAACCATGAACAAACCTAAACTAAGCAAACCCTAATTTGTGATCTGTCCCTAATTCTTTGTTTTCTTCTCATCGGATCGTATCCCAGAGTACCTTCTTGCTGTATTCCCTTATAAATTCCCCTGATTAACCTTCAAGGCTTCGTGCTACAGAGACAAATTATTATGTTCTTGCCATTTTAGTCCAGTTATTTAATTGTCGCTTCCTTCGCTCGTTTTCGAGATTCCCCGTAGATCATCAGGTTTTAACTATGCTTCATCATCTGCTTCAGCTTTGACGATTCCTAGTCCTTCTGAGCGGTGATTTGTAGTCACTAAATTTATATGTCCAGAATTTAAATTATTAATATTGGTAGTTTGGGAAGGTCTATGAATTTCACTTTGTGTCCTTTTATTTCTTCTCATTTTTTTAAGTGTTTGATTATTGCTAGTTTGTTTTATTTACCGTCAATACAACCAATTCATGCAGTATAAATATTATAAATTTGTAGAATAATTCAACATAGAAGCAGGTTTTTCATGTGTTTTGTCTAAAAGGTTTTTCGCCTGAGAATGATGGCCCTTTAGCTGCCTTGTGATGTAAGTTATGTTCTTGATGCAGAATGATTTAGTGTAGATTTTTTGGAAGATACCTATATGACAGCATGGGTAGCAGTGACATGGATAAAACCATAAGAGAGAAGGAGTCTAATACGACACCTCCAGCTACGTCACAGGTTTATATGGGTTTCTTTTATTTGGTCTGTATTGGCGATTAAGTACTTTGTACTTGATGCCAGAAACATTTTGTTGTCTTTTCCAGGAGCTGTCTTCAACCCCTGGCACTGGAACAATTAATCCTGACTGGTCCAACTTTCAGGTTTTGTTGAAAAATCTTTGTTTGCCCATTGTGTTTTTATCTGTAGGAAATCAGAAGATTATTATCATATATATTAAAGAGATTCTGTCAAATCCCTAATTCTTGGGATTCAATTAATTTGGATCAATTTTATTTCCTTTTTAATTAGGATTGATTAGTTTCCTTTTCTTCATTTTATTTCCTCTTCCAGTCACACAAGATGTGTATATATGCTTGTAACCTCTCATTATTGGAATACTATTTTAGATGAAACCCTTTTTTCAGTATTTTCACATTATTAATGTTAAGCCAAGCTTGGATTTTGATCCCCAACTCATTTGTTACACAGGCATATTCTCCTATACCTCCACATGGATTCATGGCATCAAGTCCCCAAGCCCACCCATATATGTGGGGTGTCCAGGTAATTGTCACATACAGCATGATTGGTCAATCTCATTGATACAGTAGTGTAGAATATTATACTTTGACCTTTGTGTCTGTTTTAGAGTTCTTAATGGATTTGGGGAACTTTAGATGCTGTTATTATATCACTGCTACTGCTATCATCAATATTTGTTTTCCTGAATAATCAATCCAAGAACTTATGGGACCAAAATCACTCGATTCTTCAGTTGTAGACCAATGGCGAATATAGAAATTTGTTGTTGCTTTTCCTTGACTAGGTATTGTCGTCGTTGAACTGAAATGGGAATAGCTAGTTCATTTTTGTGTTTGAGCATCTAAGTTGCATGGATATGGGTATCATCGTATGAGTACCGGTGTCAATATAGGTATGGGTATGTGGTATGAATTTTTTTCTAGAAACTAGGGTATAGAGGTATATATTACATATGAATTATAAAAGCATAAATGATTAAGTAATTAAATCATAAGATAACTACAATTTCCATAATGTTCTAATTCAAAGTTTTCAACAAAGCTCTTCAAGTATATTAAGTAAGCAAAAATACATAAAGAGGCGAGAGGGGCGAAGTAGCAGATTGTTTCATTTAATAGTAAAACAAACAACTTAGTAGTAGAAACTTGGTATTTTGCATGGACTGGCTAGTGGCTAGTACTCGAGTGATATTGGCTCATTATAATGCTTGGCCAAGATGTATTTAATAAGATCCAACAATCAAGAACCAGAAAATAACACAAAAGACACAAGTTTTTGGCCTGGAATTTCTAGATTTTCTGTATTTATATTAAAGAAACAGTACAAAACAGTAATGACCAAATAAACTAAACAAGGAATTACAGATTATAGAACGAAAGGAAAAGAAATAATGGGTAAAGAAATTGTGAAACAATTGTAGAAGTTCCATGCTCTCCCAGGATCTTGATTCCAGAGTTTTCCAAATTGCCTCCCATTCTCTCTCCCACCAACTCTACCTGATCATCCACACCTCCATTCAATTGGTGGCCATTTTGGGCATTCTGATGTGAAGATGCTGACTCAACAATAGATGCACTTAAAATACGAGAGGCCCAATTCTTTCTATTTTTATCTCGCGTATATACCTTGCGGATGGGCTGTATCAATACTCCCTCCCATTTTCAACACCTTTTCCTCAAGTGAGTAAACTGTTGCTGTATGACAGAAAAATCCTCCCAAGCATTCTCAAACTTTGGTAAATTCTTCCACTTAAGCAGAACCATTCGACCATTGCTCTCACTTTATTAGGGTCAGCACTCACTCTTTTGGCTGAGATGATGTGCCCCAAATATTCAATGTGGGCTCTCCCAAAATTGCATTTCGTTCGATTTGCTACCAGTTGATTCTGCCTGAGTACTTCAAACACACTCCTCAAGTGTCTTTCATGCTCCTCCTTGCTCTTACTATATATTAATATATCATAAAAAAATACCAGTGCAAATTTCCTCAAGAAAGGCCACAAAATTTCATTCAACAACAAGGCTTGGAAGTTAGACGGGCCATTTGTTAAACCAAATGGCATTACGAGATACTCATAATGCCCTTCGTGTGTTTCTAAAAGCAGTTTTTGGGATGTCTTCTTCCTTCATCCTAATCTGGTCGTAACCAAATTTCAAGTCTAATTTGGAATACACATTTGAACCACCCAATTCGTCGAATAATTCCTCAACAACTGGGATTAGGAGTTTGTTTGGTAAATAATTTTATTTAAAGCCTTGTAATCTACACAAACTCGCCAGCTTCCATCTTTTTTTTTTAACAAGTATTAAGGGACTTGAGTAAGGTCTAGTGCTATGTCTAATCATACCACTATTAAGAAGTTCAGAAACCAATCCCTCAATTTTAGATTTTTGGTTGTGTGGTTACCTATAAGGGTGCAGGTTCGGTACTTGACTCCTTGGCTTGAGGTTAATAGCGTGATCTTGGACCCTGTTAGGAGGTAGGCCCCTCGCGGTACTTGAAACAAATCCTGAAACTCTATCAACAAGGCTTCCAACCCTTCCTTCCATGTCCCATCTATTTCAGAACTCATTTCTTTAGCACTGAGGTAGAACCTTTACCCCTGGTCCTGTAGTGCCTTGACGATGGACTTTAGAGAAGCAATCGACCTAGATAATGCTGGATCCCCCTTGATTACCACCTTCTTCCCTCCATATCCAAATCTGCGCCACCTAGTTCGAACAAATGAAAATCCTCTTTAATTTGGGTGCCTTGAAGTTCGATTTCCACTCCCTTGCAGACCCTTTGACAGCTAACCTTGTGGCCAACCCCAACTTCCAAGTTATAGACAAGTGTATCTTCCACTGCTAGGCCCAACTGATTCACGATCCCACTCCTCACAAAATTGTTAGACGCACCACAGTCCACCTTTACTACGACTTGCTAACCCTGTATTTTTCCCAACACCTTGAGGGTTTGGCTTGAAGATAGCCCTAGGTAGAGATTGCATCAAGAGCTGTAGAGCCAGCTCCCCGTCTCCTTCTAGCTCATTATTGGGAAGAGAAGCTGTGTCAACTGTTGTTTCAACCCCTCTATCATCGTCTTTGTCCACTAACAACAATTGGAGTTGGGGGACTTGGCACTGGTGTTGCGGATGCCAACGTACGTCACATTTAAAATAGAGGCCCAATTTTTGGCGGTCACAAAGCTCAGCTTGAGTTAGACGGCAGTTGTTGCTAGCTTTATTTTCCATCGTATGTTCCCCCCACGGTGGCTGTTGCTTCGCCACTTGTTGCCCCCTTTGAAGCCCCTGCTTTAAGGTCTTCAGAATTGGTGTTTCTCGAATTAGGTGTGCCCACAACTTGGGAATTGATTGTTGCTGGCCTTGGGTTTGTTTGACCTACTATTGTCAGATTTAGCAAGTGCACTAGTCAAACAAGTAATAAAATGATAAGTAAAGATCGTTCCCACGAGGATTTGTGTCAAGCACTAACTAACCAAATGTTACTAAGTTGAATCAATCGAAAAATTCTGAATTGCATTGATTTCTTGTCACTCGAAATTGAAATTGCATAAAATTAAAGAATTGATAAACAAATAAGATGTGAATATAACTTAACAAGTAGTCAGATGTCAATTTCCCTCAAGCATGAATTTATGGATGAACCAATTTCCATTATGAATTATTTACTATGTGATGTTGATCAACCTTTTTCTTATCATCTCAAGATGTAATGTCTTACTACCCTGATAGATACATTAATCAGAAACCCCAATGTCTTGGTGATTCCTTTCTTAATACATGCATTAATCACTAAGGTTTTAAGACCACATCAGAATCCTAGCATCAATGTCTTGACTACTAGAACACTGGTGATGAAGTTGTCAAAAATAGAGAAACAATGTAAACATGTCTGTTCTACACTATTTATCAACATGAAGAATTAATCAAGAATTAATCAAGACAACTTCATACAATCACATAATAGATAAACAAAACATCTAATTAACCATTCATAAATTCAAACTTGAGTTCCATTGAATCAGACTACAAAGGACTCTACTCAGACATAATTGAAATACAAACAAAGGAAGAAGAAAGATCAAACTCCATTGACATGATAGTAAGTCTTCAATCTTCAAGTGCAATTACATATGAAACACTAACTATTACAATAACTAATCCTAAGGAATTTGAAAGTAAGAGAGAGAAGTCAGATCAGAGGATCTGATATATGAGAGAGAGATGTGATGGATTTTTTTTTCAGAAATGTGAAGGCCCTTGTCTTTTATAGTGTTACAAATTACAACCGAAAACTAACATGGGCGCTAAAACGTTCTATATGGGCGTTTTAGCGTCCATGTTTGACGTTCGAGACCAGAGTCTTTTTGCAGTAGCAGGGCGCTAAAACGTTTGGTCAGGGAGTTTTAGCGCCCAAGACCAGCAACTTTCGTCCTTAGTTTGCAGCAGCGCGCTAAAACGTTCTGTGCTGGACGTTTTAGCGCTCGGCACCAACAACTTTTGCCTTCAAATTGTAGCAGCGCGCTAAAACGGTCTGTGTGGACGTTTTAGCGCTCAACACTTAAGCATTCTCCCTTTCTCTAGAATCTTCTTCTTCTCTCTGCTGCTCCTTGAGCTTCATTTCCCTACAAAACAGTGTAGATTTTCAACAAAGCTTTCAGAACTTACACTTAAGGGATTTCCAGGATATTAACCTCATTTTCATCCAATTAATCACACAAATTAATACAAATTCATGCTGAAAAACCTGATGAACTAGGGGTTTATCACAATTCCCAGATTTAGACATTGTTGTCCTCAGTAATGAACTTGCAACAGAGAAAGATTCAAGATTCTTTACAGATGAAACTCATGAGGATGGACTTTAATTAACAAAAGATCACATTGATACAACTTACAACCATGCAATCTCTTATTCCTTATGACTTGCCCAACATCATATGTGGCTTTTCAACAGATCAATAAAGATGATATACAGAGACTTTCCAAACAACAACACCCCCTCAGTAGGATATTCTCAAAAATTATGAGAATTTTAACACTCTTGCACACTAGTGTTTAAGGATGTACTTAGCACTCATTCTTCATTACACTCAAACTGCCATAAGCTTGCCCATCTTCTCACTATTCATAGTAACAATGATCCATAAGGTAGATCAAAAAGGTTTTGGTATGATTAGCAATGAGGCTTGGTGTGTGGCTTGACTAGAGGTAAGGATTTCTGTGAAAGGGGAAGTTCAGATCAAATGAATCAGATTCAGATAAGAGGGAATTCACAGTAATTAATTAATTTCTTCCTAATTCCCTCAACTTTCTTCCTTTTCATTCCTTGTTCTTTTCTTTGAACCTTTCTTCCTCCTTTTCTTCCTGACACTTTGTGTCTTTAACAAAAAATTTTCTTTTTCTTTCAGACACTTTGTGTCTTTAATACTTTCCTCTGTCTCTTCCAAACACTTTGTATTTCACAACCTTTTCTTTCTTTTCCTTCTTTCTTTCTTATGTTTCCAACACCTTGCATTCAC